ATCTCATGGTGTAGTAGATAGAGCCCTGGGCTTAGAGTCAGGAAATCCTAATTCTGAATCCTTTCTCAGATACTTACTAGCTGTGTGACTTGGAGCTAGGTACTTAATCTCCCTTGACCTCAGTTTCTTCATTTATAAAAATGAAGAGGTTGTACTCCATAATCTCTAATATGCCTTCCAACTCCAAATCTGTGATCATATGATCCCATAACCTCTTAATTACCAAATGAGGAAGGGCCAACTGTACCCAAGGAATAATGGAAATGAAGCCTTGAATTTTTCCAGCTAATGAAGTTATGATCATTTGAAATGCCATATATTTTTGATGCATAAATGTAGACGTAATGACAGGAAAAAATTCCCAATAAATCTTCTACTACCATATAGATAAAAGAAATCCACTCTAAAAAAGAATCTAAGAGTTATAGTGGAAAACAAGAGAAAAATAAAAAATAAATACATTTTTATAGTTAAACTAGAATTTTAGCATATTTGGATGAGCAATATTATGTATTCGCATCCATCCTTCGTTGATACTTTAATGTAAAGTTACTTAATATCTTTTCCTTTGTTCCTTAATATTCATTCTTTTAAATTACTGGGAGTTCTGGTAATGCATTTTTTACTTCTGTGAAATATTACAAGTTTGTCCTAGAAAATTTAGTGCAATTTTAAGCTTTAATGGATTGAGACTACATTTAAACTTTTGGGTACCATGTATGTGTAAAGTGCTTTGGAGACCTTAAAGCACTATAGAAGTGCTAGGTATTAGTGTTGTATATGAGAGGCAGAGTGACCACAACAGAAAGCAAGATGATCTTAAAGCCAGCAAGACCTGCCTGCAAAGCTTGTCTCTGATACCAACTGGATATGGGACTCTGGGCTGGTCATTGAAGCTTCTAGTACTCTAGGCAACTAAAAAGAGAAGCTACAGAAAAGATATCAATCTACATTGGTAGAGGTATTTTCCTCATTTGAGATATCCACATACCTATTATTAGTTCTGTAGATCTCAATCATTTATTCATTTTGGCCAGCACACCAGATAAATCAGACAAGTGCTATAGACATGATGTGTTTTACTTTCAGGAAGGCATCTGACAAGATTTCATTCTTTATTTTTTTTTGTTTGCTTTTGGTTGTTTTGTTTCTAGTGAGGCAATTGGGGTTAAGTGACTTGCCCAGGGTCACACAGCTAGTAAGTGTCAAGTGTCTGAGGCCAGATTTGAACTCAAGGCCTCCTGACTCCAAGGCTGGAGCTTTACCCACTGCACCATCTAGCTGCCCCAGACAAGATTTCTAGTTACCTAATTGTGGATATGATGAAGATAGATGGGTTACTATATAGCATGTTCAGGTGTATTTGGACTAGTTACATGACTGGACCCAAAGAGATTTTGTCAGTGGATTGATAACAGTGCCTAAAGGATTTTTCCTCAATAACATTTCTTTCTCAATAAGACAAAATATAAATAATACAATTTAAATATTATAAATAAGATGATGCAATAATATAAATGAATTATACAATGAATAATATAAAAATAAAAGTCTCATATTTTAGTTATAACAATTAAACAAAATGGGTGAGTATGAAGAGAAAATGTCATATGTTCTATAATAGACTACACAAAATCATAGCATTTGGCACAATTTTTTGGTCACTACATGGTAGCTGCTACAAACAAAATTCTATAAAACCATATTTCTATGTAAATTAATGCACAAAAGTTTTGTGGATGCTGTAAATATTCCTTTTGTAATCTTTAGAATTACATATGATATCACAGAATCACAAAATTTCAGAGTTGGAAGAGAACACAGAGGTCAGTTAGTCAGTCAATAACCATTATATTAAGCTTTTACTATGTGCCAGGCATTGTGCTAAGTACTAGAGATACAAAGAAAGGCAAAAGACAGGTCTTGCTCTTAAGGATCTCCCAGTCTAATAGTGGAGAAAACATGCAAACAATGACATACAAACTAGCTATACATAAGACAAGTAGAAAATAATCAACAGAGGAAAGGCACTAAAATTAAGAGCAGCTAGGAAAGGTTTCCTGTAGAAGGTGGAATTTTAGTTGGAACTTGAAGGAAGCCAGGAGGCAGTGATGAAGAGGGGAGCATTGCAGGCATGGGACACAGCTCACAAAACACCTTAGATTTGGTAGATGGAGGTTCCATGTGGGGAACAGCCAGGATTCCAGTATCATCTGGTCCAATCCTAACCTCAACAAGAATCACATTTACAACATCCCTGAGCAGAGGCCATCCAGCTTGTAATCAAAGACCTCCTCTGAAGAGAATCTTATCCACTTCTGACTCAGACTATTCCCCTTTTTGACATCTTTAATTGTTGGAAAAAAAATGATTACATGGAGCTGAGATTCCTATCCCTGTGACTGACAATGATTTCTCCTTGTTTTATCCTCAGAGGTCAAGCAATAGAAATCAAATCTATCTGCAATACAACTCTTCAAATCTTTGAAGAAAGCTATCATGTTCCTCCCTAGTTCCCACAAACCTCTTCAGAATAAAAATAGCTAGTTCCTGTAGCTACAGCCCTGAAGGGGTTGAGTTTTCAGTCTCCTCTTGTGGCATCCTAAATTAAATGCAATACCCCAGTTATTGTCTGACCAAGGCTGTGCCATCATCATCATCATCATCATCATCATCATCATCATCATCATCATTATTTTCACTACTATGCCTCCCTAAATGCACCCTAAGGTCACTATCTTTCTCAGAAACCATGCCATCCTGTTCACTCATATTTTGATTACAGTTCACTGAAATTTCCAGATTGCATTCACTCTGATTTTTATCTAGCCATAGCTCCCCTATCATATGCTTTTAAAATTGATTTTTAACCCAATTTCAGGAATTTACATTTATTATATTAAACTTTAATTTCCTTAGATTTGGCCAACTTTTAAAAACATATAACTGATATATATATATATATATATATATATATATATATATATACATATATATGTGTGTGTGTGTATGTATATATATGTATATATATGTATATATATACACACACAATGCATATACACATATATAAATCACATATGTGTCACACCATATGTGATATTGGTTACATGTATATACATCATATATGTGGCATATAGGTGATATTATATATGCATATAGGCATATGTGTATACAATTATATATGTATATATATCACATATAATATGGTAATATTATATGGTTTGCACATAATACCACATATGTTATATGTGTCATTATAAATACATTTGTACATGTATATAATATATAACATATCTGTCTATAAATACATACATACATCATATTGAACACATTTTCTCATTTGAGCCTCACAACAATTTGTGAGATAGATACTGTAGGGGTCATTTTCCCCATTTAATAGTAAATCAATCAATCAATAAATAGACATTAATTGCTTAGTATTTACCAGGCACTGTGCTAAGCACTAGAGATGTAAAGAAAGGGAAACTCAGTCTCTTCCCTCATGGAGATTGCTTTCTAATGGAGGAGAAAACATGTAAGCAAGCATTTATATACAATGGTTGTTAAGTGGTAAATTAAAGGTAATCTCAGAAGGAAGGCACTAGAGTGAGAAAGGCACTAGCAGAGATGTGTAGAAAAACTTTCTGCAGAAAGTGAGACTTGATTTGAGGCTCATAGGAAACCAAGGAAGCCAGAATTCCAGAAATGGAGGACAGCAAGTGAAAAAGTAAAGAGTAGGGAGATGGAGTGGCTTGTTTGAAAAACAGCAAGGCCAGTGGCACTGGATTGTAGAGTGGGTGAAAGGGAGGAAAGTATAAGGTAGATGAAGAAAATGAGGCTCAGAAAGTTTAAATCACTTCTCTGATCACATAGCTTGCAAATGCCTTAGGCATTAGTGGGCTCTTGATAAATGCTCAGTTGATTTATTGATTAATTTAAGCCAAGGTTTTCCTGACTCCAAGCTGTGGGATTCCAGGTCATATTTTACTAGCCTTCATTAAAGGTGTTCTATCTCGGTGAGGAGCCCATTATTTAAAAAAAAAGAAAAAAGTGGTATTTTAATCCTCGGAGAAGAAATGTAAGTACAAAAAATAGTTAATAGGCAATTGATAGCCAATATAAATAACAACCTAATAAGAAGGTACCTAGCTGTCCTTGCTAAATTTAAGTCACCTGACTCATATGACCTATGACCTCAAATATCATCCTCTATTACTGAAAGAACCAAGATAGAATTGCTGAAGCATTATCAGTTATGCTTGAAAGATCATGGAGAATGGGAAATGGTGTAACAGATTCAAAAAAGGGCAACATCCCAATTTTTTAAAATGAGAAGAGAATAGTCTGCCAATGATTGGCCCATGGACTTGACTTTATTCCTGGCAAAATGATAGAATGGATTTTTAGAGATAATGTCAGAGAACATCTCAAAAAACATGTAGCAATCACAGAGAATCAGTATATCATCATCAAAAATGTAGTAAACATATTTCCTTTTCTGACAGAGCAAAAAAAAAACCAACCCAAAAAACCCCAAAACACAAAAACCCTGATAAATTGGAAGAGTACTGCTGGTATAGCTCATGTTGATCTTAGCAAAGTCTTTTATGAAGAATCTCATGCTTTTCTTTTGGAAAATGTGGTAGTAAAAGGTGGTGAATGATAGTACAATTAGATGAATTTGAAACTGATTGAATGGTTTAACTCCATCAATGGTTGTTAATGTCAGCTTAGGCAAGAGATCTTCATGGTAGTTCTCTATGGATCTTTATTTGACCTATACAACATTTTTCAATGACTTTGATATAAGAATATATAATACGATTTTCAAATTAGCAAATGGCAGTTTGATAGGGAACATATTCCTTCCTTTACCTTCCAGTATCCTGACACAGATCACATTCTTTTCTGCTACTCCAGGAGCTTTTTCTTTTCTTCTTTCTCTTCAATGAACTTCTACCATTTTTTCAATGAACTCTTCATTTTCCCTGATAATCTAGAGAGTAGAGAAGTATTCGCCGGCCCTGGTGCCTCGCAGAGCAGAGACCAACCTGAGCTTTAAGTACGTACTGGAAGAAATACCTTTAGTTACAAGAGCCTGGAGTAATTTTCAGGTAAGTAAATTGGCAAATTGGTAATAATTGAATGATCAAAGTGTCCTAGAGAGACAGCATGGTGCAGTGGTTAGAACTCAGGGTCAAGAAGACTTAGGTTCAAATCCTTCCTTATTTACTTGTTCTCTGATTCCATCTCTCCCCCACTCCCATCCAGGCATATCTCAACTTCTCTAACACTTATGTCCCACATATGCAAAATGTAAATAATAGCAGTAACAACTACACAGGGTCATTAAGAGAATCAAATGATATAATATATACATAAAGATTCAAAATATAAATGTTACCTATGTTAGCCATTTATTAGGGGATGCCGTCCAGGTAAATCATAGATGGGAAAATGCCAGGAATAAAGTTAATATCAATGTCCTGATCATTAAGGAAGGACTATGATGGGAACATAGCAGTTTCAAGTCTATCAATAAATCCTGTGTCAGGTACATCATGAGTTTAGGGTAAAACCAGCTATACTATCTCATGGTCTTCAGATTGTACACTGGCCGTCATCTCTGTTTGTCCTGGGGTATGTTATATGGACTTTTGTATTGTGGTACTCTACAGCAGAACTTCTACCAGTGAATGCCATCTTGGTTTATGCTGTGAATCCCTCAAAGCCAGGTACATTGGAAACCCCAAGGCAGGTATCAATGTGTTCACTGAATAATATGACTGAGAATAAGAACCCATGAATGAGCGGATGCAACAGAAAGGTAGATGTTGGCTCCATCTAACAATTCAAGAAGCCCCCAAGAAGTACCTGGAAAGGTAGCCATTTCATCATATCTGAAAGTATTTGAAGAGAGCGTCAGTGAGGTAGAGATGACTCCTACACTGGATAAGAAGTTCAACCCAATAATCTTGAATGTCATCCAAATGAAATATTCTGTACATTTCTTTTAAATATTTACCTTATTTTCATATTTTTCCTTCTGTCTAGCTCTGCATCTAAAATTCAGCTATCTTCATCTTTTTCTAGGCCTCTTACGGTCATTTTATTTTAAAACTTCAAACCTTAGGGAATTTAGATGTCCCAGTTAAATTCAACAGTAGCCCAAAGAACTGAAGATCCAGTAATATGGTTTCCCCAAACACACCCCACATTGTTCATGTCCTCTTTTACCTACAGCAGTGCCAAGTTGCAGGCTCCACAATTGAAAGATGTGGAGAATTCTGAGAAGGCCTCAAGGCAAATGATCACAATTATGGAGGTAACTAGAAAAGAGGAGCTGTGAAAAAAAGTGAAGGAAATTGTAATGATTTAGCCTGGAGAATGGGAGACAGTCCTGAGATTTAATAATTGTCATCAGGAACACAAAGCCTTTTTTTCAGAGGATGATGGCTAGCTGTTCCACATCATTACTCAGGATAGAACAGGTGCAAATAATGCTTAAATTGCAGCAGAGGGAACTTGAGTTAGTCGGACATAAGGAGAGATTTCCAAGCTGAGTTTTTAGATGGTAGAATAAGCTACCCAGGAAAGCTGTGCCTCTCTGGCAGGATTTAGGTGTCTAATAACAATAATTCATGTCTATATAGTGAGTTCTTGAGGGTTGACAAAGCACTTTCCTCACAACAGCCCTGTGAGTTGGGCAGGACAAGAATGATTTTTGCCATTTTACAGATTAGGAAACTAAGGCTTAGGGAGAGGAAGAGGAATGTCCAGAGCCATTGAGAAAATGACAAGGCTGGGATTTGGATCCAGCTCCAAGACAGCTGACTCGAAGGACAGTGGTGTACTTTCCACTATGCTACCCGAACTCAGGAGTCCTTCCAGTCCTCAGGTTGAATGATGCCATGACATTAGGCCAAGCTTGGTTCAGCGATCTAATCTCTTGCTAATGAAACAGAACTTCTTTTCATTTGCATGTTAGTCAGAATATGGAAGATCATGAAGCCATTTTTATGTGGATTCTTCAGAAAGATGATATACAGAAGGAATATGGCATGAACATAATATTTGTCAGCAAATGTTAAAAAGTAAACCTTGATACAGGTTTCTTTTGTGCGTAGTAAAAGTGTCACACTTTCTGTTGTGTTGAGGGATATATTTGTAGCTTTTTTCTCAATAGAAAAGGTTGTAGAAAAAAAGTAGACATGAAACAATAATTATAGTTTCCATTTTGACAGTTCCTTTCAGACCAAAGCCCCTTAGAAAAATGTATATATTAAGCATAAAAATCTATAGTAATGCAGCACTCAGAATATGAATACACATAAATCAGTTCACAGAACAGACATTTTAAAATTCCTTTAGTTAGGTTGACTCTCCCTCCACATATAGAGAGGAGTTCCCTAAATGATCTGACAGATATAATTGTTCCCGTTATTTGCTAAGCGTTTATTAATATGCAGCCTGTTTTGCAATGAGAATCCATGATCTGAGGTGGATTAAGTGATGCAAACTCATGCTGTAGCCTTCTTAATGGACCATTGGATGCCAAAATATTATTCATACAAGTTTCATGGACAAGCATACATCTGGGTTGGTAGGAATAAAAAAAATCCCAAAGGGACAGATTGAGTGTGCTAGAATACATTGAAAATGAGGAAATCTGGGAAGGATCAATTGTATCTCAGAGAAATATGAGTGAGGCAACATGACTACATTTCTGGGTCCTCTTCTTGGTTTAATGTGGAAAAAAAAAAGAGGAGACTATGCAGCTAGGTGGCGTTTTGGATAGAACACTGGGTCTGGAGTCAAGAAGACATGAGTTCAAATCTAACCTCAAAAACTTATAAGTTATATGACCTTGGGCAAATCAATTAACCTCTCTCTATGTGCCTCAATTTCCTCAACTATAAAATGGGAATGATAGTAATACTGCCTATTTCCCAGTGTCGTTGTAAGGACCAAATGAAATAAGATTTATAAAATATTCCTATATACCATCCTTCAGATACACATCCTAGCTTGTCAATGTACTTCCCAAAATGACATACCTAGGACTGACCACAATATTCAATGTGTTCTGATGAGAGACAAGTATAGCGGGATTTCCATCTTCCTTGGTCTAGAACACATGACTCTCATTGTATGCCCTAAGAAAAGATTAGATTTGCTGGTGGGAATGTCCCATTATTTTGTCATATAGTCCACTAAAACCTTTAAATCCCTTGATTCATTGAAAACCATAGTACAATCATCACAATTAACCAGCAAGCATTTATAAAGTGCCTAGTGTGTGCCACACATTGTGTTAGTCCCTAGAGATACAAAGACAAAAAATAGTCCTTAACTGTGAGGAGATTACAGTCTACACTAGACTGTCCTATTCTACTGAAGGTTGAGATATTGTTACTTTATGATGAAAAAAATACTCAACTGAGAAATGGTCGATCCAAAGATTTGGGCCATTGTAATGGCCAATGCAAGGTTGCCATAGTTAATATTATTTGTTGTGAAGTGTCTGCCCATTCAAGATGTCACTCATGATGAACTGACCAAGATTTAATCAATTAACTGATGACATTTGAACATGATTAGATGCTAGTGACTAAAATTTCTTCTCTAGTTCATCTCATAATGGGAGACATGAAATAATTTCCCTAGGTATCCTTTTTTAGTACCATGAAGGAGCAGTGCAATGGCTTCATAAGATATTCTATAGGGTTGGAGGTATGATGTTTGTTTAATCTTGTGAGATGCACAGCAGATATTGCAAAATATCAGCAGAGTCAGGCTGTGTTTACACACACCAAAACAGTTTGAAAAGAAAACAACAGACAGAGTTGGATCTACCCAAAGAATGTTTCCTTTGGCTGGAAGTGATTTTTCCCTCTGAACTAATGCTACTCTTTATATCTCTTATATTGAACTTTCTCATTCTGCCTTGAATTACTATTATTCATATACATATCTCCTGAACCCTGTTTACTTTCTGAGAGCAGGTGCTGGCTGGGTCTTACTCATCTTTATGGGATTTACAGCAGCTCCCACAGTGCCTTGCTGTCTCACATAGTGAGAGGTTTGAATGAGATAATATGTTTAAATCACCTTGTAAATTTTAAATCTCTCTAAAAATGATGGTTATTGTTAGTAAATTATGTGTGTTAAATGAATGGACTATTTTAGGAATTGATTATTATTTGGTCATTTCCAAAACATTACTCATTCTTTGTTGGAAATCAACCATGCTTCCCCCTTTTTTTCATTTTTTTCACATTTTGACTTTCAATTAACAATCAAATCTTTTCTTTCACTTCCATACCCTTAATGTTGATAAACAATAGAAAAACCAAGCCTTTGTAGCAAATATGCATCACCAAGTACAACAAATTTCCACCTTATTATTTCTATCCAGAAATGTACGTCTCATGATGTATTTTATTTGTATCACCTGTCTGATGGGAGGTGAGTAGTATAGAGTCTCATTAGTCCACTAGAACTGTGGTTGGTCATTGCATTGATCAGAATTTTTAAGTCTTTCAAAGTTGATTTCATAAGATTATCATTATTATATGCTTTTTTTTTCCTGGTTCAGTCTCAGGAAATCCTTTGCCTTGCCCAGGCTTGCTTTGTAGTAAAAATATTCCTTCTTAAGATGTTGGCTTAGGTCACCAACTTTTCCCCTGGCAAATAACCAATTTGAGTTTCATTTTAATGAAATTGGAATGATGCTAGTTGCAACTTCTCAATTGTGCTTAGCAAGGGCTTGGCTCTGATCATCCCTCATTACCCATGGCCTGACTCTCATTTACCTGTGCTTTCCTCTTTTGTTCAGGCTGATGGATTTTTTCCATCTAGAACAATCAAGCCAACCATCTCTTCTCCATATGGACCCAGCCCTGCTCTGTTTCCTGGGCTGCCTTCATACAGGGGAAGAAGCTCTTGCGTAATGGGGATGATTTCAGAAGCACTGGGAATTCTGCTGATGCCTGAAATCCCTTGAGTAGAGTGCAAAACCTTTTATTCCACAGTTAGAAATCAGAATTAAAATAGAAACACCCCCAAAATAGAGAACACCTCAAATAGCATAATTCACAAAATAGCTTTAAGG